GGCCAATATAATATATATTACAAAGCAGTAATCCTGAATTTAATTACAATAAAAATAAAGATGTTTACAATTCTAAATAGTAGTGTTAATTAAAAAATTAACAAAAAGTTTTTATAAAAATTAATTAGAGAAAAACAACTTTGCTAGCGGTTCCCAAACCATCAAGGTAATGATTAACAAACAAAAAACAAAAATTGAAAATAGAGAACAAAACAATGTTGTGTACCAAATAAGATGTGATGGTGGGGACAATGAAGAGTGTGGAAAAGTTTATATTGGCACAACAAAGAGAAATTTAGGCGTGAGAATAGATGAACACATAGCTGACATAAAGAAAGGTAAACAATCAACTGCACTTGCACAACACTGTATTGAAAATAGACATAAACCTAATTTTGACAATGTAAGAATTTTGGACAAAGAGAGAAGAGAAAACAAGAGATTTACATTGGAAAGCTTGAGGATACAACAAAATTCGAAGAGTGCAATAAATACAAAAGAAGATAAAGATAATACAAATGCAAATTACACCATAGCATTATTCTAGTATAATAACAAACTGTGATCGAATAAGAACTTTTACTGTGATATTAAATTTTATTATCTTTACATTATTTAGTAATAAGTTTTTTGTTTGTGTTGTCCAACTTTACAAAAAACTGTGATATTTTTAATAATGTAATTTTGACAAAAAAGAATATTTGTAAGTAAAAATTGTTCTTTATATAGATTATAAGATTGTTGTTACTGACTATTTAAACAAATATTTATTTTTCTTTTGTATAATTATAATGTTGCCAGATCATAAATAAAATCAAAAATCCCTGAAGAAGTTGGAAAATACCAACGAAACGTCGGATAGATTGAAGATGAGATAAATAATCTTTTATTTGAACAATGACCTTAAAAGCCTGTTTATAGGAAACTATATTTAATAATTGAGAAAAAAAAATTATAACTTGAATCTTTACCGACAGCCAGAAGGCAATTAGGGCGATATCAGGCGATAGAACTAAATCTAAGACCGTATTGGATTGTAAGAAAGCTTTAACTGAATACTCTCCCAGAGGTAAGGTTCACATCATATGGGTACCAGCCCACTCGGGGGTAGTCGGTAACGAAAGGGCGAATGTAATAGCTTTAAAGGGAAGGGAGCTCGAGGCAGTTAACCTGACAAACGCAAAACCATTCGACGCAACAAAAGCTGAACTAAAAATATGGGTGGGCCTCTTGGAATAATGAAACAGTGGGTAGAACCACGAAGATCCTATGGGGAGACCCTGATGAGAGCAAGACGAAAAATCTCCTCAAAATGAGCAAGTCTGAAGTTAGTATGATGACACGTATTCTGAGTGGACACACAGGACTACGAGCACATCTATGCAAAATTGGACGTGCGGATTCAGACGAATGTAGAGCATGTGGAGAGGACAGTGAAACTCTGGAGCACTTTCTTTGCCACTGCCAGGCATTCGTCGAAGTTAGATCCAAGTATTTTGGAAGTGATGTTATTCCGGAAATAACATTCCTGACTAACACTGATTGGAAGATTCTTAGGAATTACGTTCATGAAACTGAGTTTCTGAACACTGAAAAATAATTTTTTTTTCATGAGCGCACAACAGGCCTGATAGTGGCCTAGGTGTATTTCTTCGGATTTGATGTAGTATACATTCTCCTATCGACCTACCTACCTAATTTTTAAAAACTATTTATTTTTATTATGAAAATTTTTGTTAGAAATTGTCACAAAATTCACTACACTCAATCGTTATTTAATAACTTATTTATAAATACAACATAAAACAAGTAACAAATTATAGTCGGGCGAGGCCGACCATATAATACCCTACACCTTTGACAAAAATATAATGTGATTAAGTTGACATAATAAAGCATTTAAGTTGAATTGTACCTTGCCTTAGATATACATACTTAAGCCGTTTATGAATAAAATTGTGGACATTTAAGTGAAATTTTGATGGGGGCTTTTCATAGAGGCTAGGGTCATATGAGAACCTATTATTATGGAATTCGTGGGGGTCATCAAGTCTTGTATACAACTTGGTTATTGCAGCTTTTTGTCGAGATATGAGTATATTAAACATAATTATGAACTTAAAAGCCCTATTCGGCGTGTTCAGTTGTATGGGGGCTAGGTGAAATAATGGACCGATGTAAACCATTTTCAACAGACTTCATCTACGGTACCATAAAAGATCATGTGCCAAATTTCATTGAATTATCTCCAAAATTGCGACCTGTAGTTTGATTACAAGTTTTAAAAGCCCTATTCGGGGGTTCAGTTGTATGGGGGCTAGGTGAAATAATGGACCGATGTTAACCATTTTCAACAAATTTCATTGAATTATCTCCAAAATTGCGACCTGTAGTTTGATTACAAATTTTAAAAGCCCTATTCGAGGGGTTCAGTTGTATCGGGGCTAGGTGAAATAAAGGACCGATGTTAACCATTTTCAATAGGCTTCGTCCCTAGGACAATAGAAGATCATGTACCAAATTTCATTGAATTATCTTCAAAATTGCGACCTGTAGTTTGATTACAAGGATTACAAGCCCTATTGGGGGGTTCAGTTGTATGGGGGCTAGGTGAAATAATGGACCGATCTTAACCATTTTCAATGGGCTTCGTCCCTGGGACAATAGAAGATCATGTACCAAATCTCATTGAATTATCTTCAAAATTGCGACCTGTAGTTTGATTACAAGGTTTACATGGACGGACGGACGGACGGACGGACAGACGGACGGACATAGCTAAATCGACTCAGAAAATGATTCTGAGCCGATTGGTATACTTTAAGGTGGGTATAGGACCAATATTATTGTGCGTTACAAACGTCAGCACAAACCCAATATACCCTCCCCACTAAAGTGGTGTATAACAACTAATAAAGTGACAGTTAGTCAATATAAATGCAAAATTCAAACAAGTAAGAAATTATAGTCGGACGAGGCCGACCATATAATACCCTACACCTGTTACAAAAATGAAATATGATTTTGTTTTCATAATAAAGCACTTAAGTTGAATTGCACCTTGCCTTGAATTATACTTAAGCCATTTATTGTTGAATAAAATTGTGGACATTTAAGTCAAATTTTGAAGGGGGATTTGTATAGGGGCTATGGTCAAATGAGACCCTATGATTATAAAATTCATGAGAGTCATCAAGGCTAGTACAGAACTTTTTGTTCTTGCAGCTTTTTGTCGAGATGCGAGTATATTAAACATAATTATAAATTTAAAATCCCTATTTGCCGGGTTCAGTTGTATCGGGTCTAGGTGAAATAATGGACCGATGTTAACCATTTTCAGTAGGCTTTGTCTACGGTACCATAGAAGATCATCTACCAAATTTCATTGAATTATCTTCAAAATTGCGACCTGTAGTTTGATTAAAAGGTTTACAAGCCCCATTCGGGGGTTCAGTTGTATGGGGGCTAGATGAGAAAATGGACCGATATTAACCATTTTCAGTAGGCTTCGTCTCCGATACCATAGAAGATCATCTGCCAAATTTCATTGAATTATCTTCAAAATTGCGACCTGTAGTTTGATTACAAAGTTTACAAGCCCTATTCGGGGGTTCAGTTGTATGGGGGCTAGGTGAAATAATGGACCGATATTAACCATTTTCAATAGGCTTCGTCCCTGGAACAATAGAAGATCATGTGCCAAATTTCATTGGATTATCATCAAAATTGCGACCTGTAGTTTGATTACAGACGGACGGACGGACATAGCTAAATCGACTCAGAAATTGATTCTAAGCCGATTGGTATACTTTAAGGTGGGTATAGGACCAATATTATTGTGCGTTACAAACATCAGCACAAATCCAATATACCCTCCCCACTAAAGTGGTGTAGGGTATAAAATATATACCTACTTTGTTATATTTTTATTTATAATAAAGCAAAAAACTTCTTTTTCAAAAATTTTAAATTTTGAATTTTGGCCATTTGGTATTCCCATAAATAAAAATAATATATTCAAACTTTCATGTTAATATTAAGATAATTTAAATTTTTTTGTAATTATTAATTATACGCTACACCACTTTAGTGGATAGGGTATATTGTGTTTGTGCTGATGTTTGTAACCCTCAATAATATTGGTCCTATACCCACCTTAAAGTATACCAATGGGCTTAGAATCATTTTCAGTCAATTTAGCTATGTCAGTCCGTCTGCCCTTCCATGTAAACCTTGTGTAGTGATGGTCATGGATTATTATTTTTTAAACCGATATTTATAATACTTTATTATTTGTTAATTTTGTTTGATCTAGTAATGTTTGGAAATTCAATTTAAAAAAAGATTCATTTTTTTAATTGTAATTGGATTAAAAATTTTATAAAATAAAGAAGCATTTTGCTATGCAAAATAAAATAAATAAATATAAAAATAATAACTAAAATTGGCGATCCTGCCAGGAGATTTGTAAAACAAGATATTTATGTTATAAATCTGTAATCTTCGATTACACTAAATTAAAATTGCCTCGATGATGATTATAATTATAAAAATAAGAATTTACAACTATTTTACTTAATTAAAATACCAGTGGCCTCTGAGAAAATTGAAACAAACGAGAAAAACTGCAAAACTTCTTAAACTTAATTTGGCGCAAACAATAATCATTATTACATATTTAGAATTATCACAGATTGTGAGAATCTAAAGGAAAACAACAAATGGAAACAAATAGAAGTCAAAATTCAAGATTGTATTGAAATTTCAAGATACTAATTACACGATCGAGAATCTCCACAAATTACGATAAGTCCTTCCAATTTATATATAATTATTAATTTCAATATAAAACATACATATAGATATAAGTTCTTACTCTTATTTTCACACTTTTTGGAACTTTAACATCATAACAATTTAGTTACAAGATTTTTTTTTTTGTGATTATCTACACAATTTTTTTTTTAATTATTATTGTAAACCTCATTACGATTACCAATATGATTCGGTCCCCGGTTACTTCTCCAACTCGTTCTAATAATATAAATCCGCAAGTTTCCGGTAATAGTACTAATAGTTCATCTTTAAATGTTACATCTAATAATTTAAATAGCAATGCACAATTAGAAATTTGCGCTACTTCATTGAAATTACCTCTCTTTTGGGTCGAATCACCCAGAAGCGTGGTTCATTCATGTTGAAACTCAATTTAATACTAAGGGTATAACTAGGGATAATACAAAATATGAACACCTTATTGTATCGCTTCCTCAAGATGTAATAGTATCAGTTATTGATGTTATTCAGAATCCACCGGATGAAAATCGTTATTTAAACCTTAAAACAAAACTTCTTGAACGTCACTCTCTTAGTGAACAAAGGAAGCTCGATAAGTTATTATCAGATTCCGAAATAGGTGATCGTAAACCTTCGGAATTTTACAGATCTTTGATTCAATTAGCCGGGAATAATATAAATTCTGATTTTGTTAAAAGTTTATGGTTGCGAAAATTACCAAGAAATCTTAATATTGCGTTGGTAGGGTCTAATGTTGTCAATATTGAGGATTTGCTTAAATTAGCTGATAATATTTGGGAAGTAACAAATAAGGTAGAATTGTGTACCCTGGAACCCAAAGATTCGGTACAAAGTAATTGCAGGTTAGATAAAACAGTAGATAATTTGGTTAAAATTACATCAGCGATGCTAGATAAATTTACCCAACTATCTATGGAAATAGCCGACGTTAAACAATCTTTTCAAAATAGTCGTTCAAGGACACCATTTAGAAATAGGAGTCGTTCTAGGGGACGTTCATTGAATCGTAAATGGCTTTGTCGTTATCATTATCGGTTCGGTAGCAAAGCTAGAAGATGTGAACAACCATGTTCATATGAAACATCACAACAGGAAAACTAAATTGTCCTATTATCCTGACGGCTGATAATAGACACAATAATTCTACACGCCGTCTTTTTGTATATGATTCGGAAAATAAATTAAATTATTTAATAGATAGTGGCGCTGAAGTGTCAGTACTTCCATTGTCTAAGTTTAGGATGTTTAAACGGTCATCAGATGTAATTTTAACGGCTGCAAATGGCAGTAGCATTAAAACATACGGTAAGAAATTACTAAAGGTGAATTTAGGTTTGAGAAGAGAGTTTCCTTTTATTTTCACGATAGCAAATATTTCCAAACCGATAATAGGAAGCTGATTTTCTTTCGAAATTTGGTCTACTAATTGATCTTAAAAGGAAAACATTAATCGACCCTTTAACAAAAATATCCATTAACGCAATAGAATCATTTAGTAATATTTCTCTTCCGAAAATTTTTACAGTTGACAATAAATATACAGATCTATTAAAGGAGTTTAGTTCGATTACAGGATCCCCAGACTATAACAAAGAGGTTAAACATAACACAGTTCATAGAATTGAAACTAACAGTACACTTCCATTTTCGAAACCACGACGATTAGATGCAATTAAGTATAAAATTGCGAAAAATGAATTTGATTTTTTAGTGTCTTCGGGTATATGCCGCCCATCAAAATCACATGCATCATCTCCATTACATCTAGTTCCAAAAAAGGAACCAAATGATTGGCGTCCTTGTGGCGATTACCGCAGGTTAAATTGTGTCACTGTGCCTGACAGGTATCCAATTCCCCATATACACGACCTTGGTATAGATTTAAGGGATAAATATATATTTTCTAAATTAGATTTGGTCCGTGCCTACCACCAAATTCCAGTAGCAGAATGTGATATTCATAAAACGGCTATTACAACTCCTTTTGGCTTATTTGAATTTGTTAGAATGCCTTTTGGATTAAGGAATGCCGCACAAACATTCCAAAGATTTATTAATGAAGTTTTTCAAGGTCTAGACTTCGTTTTTGTATATTTGGATGATGTTTTAGTTGCTAGTAAAGATGAGGAAGAACATGTTGACCACCTTCGTGTTGTTTTTGAAAGACTAAGTAAATACGGATTAAACATTAAAATATCAAAATGTGTTTTTGGAGTGCCAAATATTGACTTTTTGGGTTACAATATTTCACACGATGGGATAAGACCATCAGACGAAAAAGTGAGGGCAATTCGTGAATATGATAGACCAAAATCAGTAAAACAATTACAAAAGTTCGTGGGAATGGTCAATTACTATCACAGGTATATACCGAAAATAGCAGAATTACTAAGTCCTATACATAAAATGTTGAATGATGCAATTAAGGAAAAAGCTAAACTATTGACATGGTCAGAAGAGGCAAACGGTTCATTCACGAAGGTTAAGGATAGTTTTGCTAAAAATGTAATGTTGAATTTTTTTTAATCCCGATGCTAATTTATCTTTGACTGTAGATGCTTCAAACATAGCTATCGGGGGAGTCTTACAACAACAAATAGGCAATAAAATTGAACCTATAGCATTTTATTCGAGGAAACTCACGCCTTCCGAAGTGAAATATAGTTCATTTGATAAGGAGTTATTAGCAATATTTTTGAACATAAAGCATTTTAGACATTTTTTGGAAGGGAGACCTTTTGTTGTTTATACAGACCACAAACCGCTTACTCAAGTTTTAAACTCACGTGTTGAACGTAGTCCACGACAGACACGTCATCTTGAATTTATTGCACAATTTACAGATGACATTAGGTACATTAAAGGAGCTTCAAATATTATTGCGGACACCTTATCAAGAACTCCAGAGATAGATTCTTTTGATAGTGACATATTAAACATAACCGAACTACATATATAATGAACAAACTAAAGACGTAGGTTTAAAAAAACTTATCGAAAACAGTCCATATAACTTAATGAATGTTTATATAGATACACATAAAGTTTCTATATGGTGCGAGGAGTCTAATGGGAAAATTAGACCATATATACCTTTGGAAATGAGAAAACGTATTTTCAATAAACTGCACAATATTTCACATCCAGGAACTAGAGCTTCAAGGCGATTAATTGTTTCGCGATATTTTTGGCCATCAATGAATAGGAATATAAATGAATGGGTCACTAATTGCTTGCATTGTCAAAAAGCTAAAATTTTTAAACATACAAAATCGGAAGTTAAAAAGATTGATATCCCTAAAGGACGATTTGAACATATTCATATCGATATTGTAGGTCCGTTACCAGTATCAAATGGATACCGTTATATTCTTACAATAGTAGATAGAACTACGCGATGGGCAGAGGCTTATCCACTTAGGAATATAACTGCTAAATCTATATGCAAAATTTTTTTAAATGAATACATTTCTAGATTTGGAGTTCCCTTGCGTATTACAAGTGATCAGGGCACACAATTCACTTCCTTTATATTTAAGGAACTTTCAAAACTGTTAGGTATTGACAATATTGTGACTACTGCATATCATCCTCAGGCCAATGGGCTAGTTGAACGATTTCATCGTCAATTAAAAGCGTCAATTTTAGCACGCGGAAATGTGATTAATTGGTCTGAGGAACTTCCTTTGGTTTTATTAGGGTTACGTTCAGTAGTTAAAGAAGATTTAAAAGCGTCACCGGCGGAAATGGTTTACGGGCAATGTTTACGATTACCTGGCGAGATGGTTGTGAATTCCACGAAAGAATTTGATAATTCTGAATTTTTAAGAAAAATCAGGAATCATTTTAATAATTTTCGTTCCAATATTTTACATCATAAAAATTCATTTAAAGTTTTTATACCAAAACATCTTGAAAATTGCCAATATGTATTTGTTCGCGAAAATGTAGGAAAACCAGGTTTATGTTGCCCATATGTAGGACCATTTGAAGTGGTAAAAAAAAACCCGAAATATTTTAAACTTCAAATGAACAATAAAACGAAGAGTGTTTCAATTGATAGAATAAAACCCGCATTTTTAGAAGATGAATCATTAAATACTACAACTGGAAATAAGAAAACGGTTACCTTTAATTTAAATAATATTACTTTTTCGAAAGGGGAGGTAATGTAGTGATGGTCATGGATTATTATTTTTTAAACCGATATTTATAATACTTTATTATTTGTTAATTTTGTTTGATCTAGTAATGTTTGGAAATTCAATTTAAAAAAAGATTCATTTTTTTAATTGTAATTGGATTAAAAATTTTATAAAATAAAGAAGCATTTTGCTATACAAAATAAAATAAATAAATATAAAAATAATAACTAAACTTGTAATCAAACTACAGGTAGCAATTTTGAAGATAATGCAATGAGATTCGGTGCATAGTCTTCTATTGCCCCAGGCATAATCGTCAAAATCGTCAATTCATTTTTCGAAATCGTCATTAAATTGTCAAAGCTATTTTCCATTTATATAATATACATGTTTGATGGTATTTTTAAGATTTTATAGTAATTATTTTAACTATCGAAAAATGTGTATCAATTTCGATAGATTTCAGTTTTGTTTGTTTATTTGTTTTTACTTTAAGTTTGCTTAGCTGCATCTGCAGCTAAGACTTCTTGGCCGAATCGAAAGATTATAACGCCAACACCAATTATTCCAGTACGATTGGACAGAATATAAATGCATATGGTAAACATGCACTTCAAAAAACCGTAACGTTATTCGGCGTCACAAGTTTGACCAATGCGGTTCGAAACGTAAAACTCTCGAAGGCAGAGCAAAAAGGATGGCCTGATTCCCCCTTTTTTTTATTGAACCAGCACTCAGGGGATGACCCCTACTTATGCGAAGCATTGTGCTGGAACTAGGAAAATAGGTTGTGGGAAGGAGGATAGAGGGAGTAGTGTTTGTGGACATTTGATTTAAATCTTCTTATATCGAAAGTGGCAGGGAATACCTCCGCAGGAAGTTTATTCCACATACGAACAGTGCGGCTGAAGAATGAATTTTCCCTTTAATGTGTTGTGCGGTCCACTGGCCAATCTACCACAAATGGGTGTGTTCTTGAAGAAAGACGTGTGTTACGCAAGAATATACGGGTATCGGGAACAAGTTCCCTAATTTCAAAGGAACACATTCCATTGTAGTATCGATAGAACAGTGAAATACACCCCACGTTGCGAAGGTGCTCCAGTGAATCAATAGAGTTGGATACCCTACTGTCACCGATAAGTACCTTCGCACTCTCCTCTACACGGTCGAGTAGCTACAAAATAGACTTCGAAGCTCCGGCCCATACATGAGAGTTGTATTCCATTTTGGGTCGGATATAAGTGGTGTAAATAATAAGAAGATCAGATGGAGTGAAGTATGTCTTACACCGTTTCAAAAAACCGAGACACTTGAATGATTCTTTCGACACTTGAAAAATGTTTTTAGTCCAGCGGACATCGCACTGAATTTTCATGTCTCAACATCAAGAGTTTCTGATTCCTTAATATTTACACCACCCATATATATAGATGGAACAACAATATCTGCCAAGCGTTTATGTGTTAAAAAACAACATTGAGTCTTACGGGCGTTAAAATCGACTCTGTTAACACGACCCCATTCGGAGATTTTTATCAAGTCGTGATTAAGCGATTCATTCATATTGCGCCTCATTGCCCCAATCTCTAGAGGGCTTGGCCTATGATTGAATGAATAAGAATGCAGATACTGCTGTCATCCGCAAAAGAGTAGATAGAGTTGGAAGTTTGACATGGAATGTCATTTATAAAGATAAGAAATAGAGTAGGGGAAAGAACGGAGCCTTGCGGTACCCCTGAATTAATCTTGAACTCGTTCGATGAGATCCCATCTATAACAACTCGTATAGTGCAATCTCTGAGAAAGCTCGAAATAAATCGAGAGAAGTTATTACCGACACCAAATGCAATTAGTTTTGATACAAGTGCACCATGCCACACTCTATCAAACGCCTTTGACACCATTTCTCCGAAAGGAAGGCTAGTAAGTCTCCCGTAGAGCGAAAGCCATACT